AGCGATCCTGGCGCTTGTCCAGCCATCGATCACCTCAAACGCCAATGGCTTCACCCAGTCACAACTTGATGTGTCGACCCCTAGCAAGGAGAAGGCGCAGTTCAACTTCCTTGGCAAGGATGGTGTCGGAAGCGGAACCCCTATGGGTTCACACGCCGGCTCACCTGCGCCCGAGGGAGCCAGTACACCTGTCCCCCCTGCTTTTGTCTTTTCTGGCAAGGACAAGGAGGGTGCGAATGGAGGCAGCCCGGCTCCTAACGGCACCCGGGCTGCGGGAACACCCATCCCTGGACAGAGCGCTCAACCACCGGCGGGCATGTTTGTCGATGCCGCCGCTCGAACCGCCAAGTCCATGGCTGCGGAACGGGATGCTGTGCTACCTGTGGCGCCTCTCGATATTGCCATTCTTACGAGTATCCAGAACGCTGCCAAGGGTGACGAAAAGAAATTACGAGACCTGCTGGGAAGTATCATGGTTATCGGAGGTGGCGCCAAGATCCCTCACTTCACGGTTGTTCTGGAGGAGAAGATCAAGGCTCGACGACCAGACCTTTATGATAGAATCCTGGTGAGTCGAAGCGCAAGAGACATGGACGAGCAGGTGGTTACGTGGAAGGGTGCCAGTGTCTTTGCGAAGCTGTCAACCAACGATTCGTGGATCACACCCTTTGAGTTTGAGCGTCTAGGCGCAAGGACTCTTCACCACAAGGTGCTCTGGGCATGGTAGATAAGCAGCAACAGAGGACAAGCAGTGGGGTAGTTCATGGGTTTTCTTGGAGTTGGGGCAAGGATATGGAGTCTGGATCAATTTGCATCAGTTAATGATCATCATTAAGGGTTGATGTAGCGGTAGAGAAGAAAGTAGTAGATGTATTATCTATTGCTCTCTGTAGTATTCTTAGGTTAAGCCATGATTCTAGACCAATCGACGAGATCATGGTGTCACTAATTTTACCGACAGCCTGTCACCTCAAATTCAAAGGCGCCAAACAACGTAACTACAAGCTTATATCAACAACAGCAACATGTCAGGCATTTGCTACAAGCAATCGCCCGTCTTTTACATGATGATCCTCTCAACTGCGATATCGGGCACGGCGCAAGGAGGTGTTGAGCTTATGTAATGGCCCCGTCATTCCCCCCATCCCCCGACTTCCGATCCGAGCCTCCATAGCTCCATGCCAGCTTCTTCCATCTAATCTTATCATCCTGACTATTGAGCTGGAACATCAAATACGTCAACACTCGACTATCTTCGCGATTCCTATTGCTTCGGCCTCGCGATGTGATACTGCTTCTCTTTTCCTTCTTTTGATATTCTTTCATACTACTCTTTACATAAACAGTAAATCTCCAAGGCTCCGAGGATCCGCGATCGCATTACCCCCACCATGCCATCCCTCCTTCGATATCTCCCGTTTGCGCCCTTGACGACGCCTCTCCAGGCGCTGACGTACCTTCTCGGCATCTCGCTCTTCTCCATCTCGTTTCTCGTCTTCTTGAACAGCTCCGTTTCGTTTGTTATTACCGACTTGATTGGACAGAAGGAGGGCGTTGGCAATGTCGTCGGAACGCTTGGTTTCGCCGATGAGCTCGTCGCGCTCGTCGCTTGCCCGGGATGGGGCCTCGTGTCGGATCGCCTGGGTGTGAGATGGGTCGCTGTTATAGGATATGCCATCATTGGCATGTCCCTTGCGCTGTTTGTCCAGGCGCGCGCTGTGTATCCGCAGTTGTTGCTTGCGCGCGTCCTGTTCGCGGTCGGCGCTTCGGCAGCGTGAGTTTGAGACATCACCTGACAGCCATTGGCGAGATGCTGACCTTTGTAGGGCTACTATGGTGACTGCGATTCTACCCTCCCTGACGGACGATAGCACTAGCGACGAAGACGAGGCCAATGCGAGGTTCAAGGCACTTCGAACAGCTCGCAACAGCGTTGCTTTCTCTGTTGAATCTGAGGCGACGATTACACAGGATCGATATACACACTCCGTCTCTGAGAGCGGCTCAACAGACTCAAACGACAAGGCTGGAAGACCATCGAAGCTGGCAGGGTTCGTGGGACTCTTCACTGGATGCGGTGCCCTGGTGGCACTGGTCCTGTTCCTCCCTCTGCCCGTGCGGTTCGGTGCGATTGACGACGTGACACCGGCCGATGCAGTTTCTTACAGTTTCTATGTCGTCTCTGTGGTCGCCTTTGCCGTTGCCATCTTTGTCGCTATTGGTTTGCGCAATATCAAGGGCGAAGAAGGCAAGGGCTGGAGTGTGCTTCTCGGACTGAAGAAGGACCATGACTCTGACAGCCATGAGCGACGAGTGAGTCTGCCGACCCCTTTCGAATTCACTTGCTAATATTGTTAGAAACTGGTTCCCTATCTCCATCTCATGAAGGACTCGGTTTTTCTCGGATTTACAGACTCCAGGATCGCCCTTGGATATCTGGGCGGTTTCGTAGCCAGAGCTTCAAGTGTTGCCATCTCCCTTTTCATTCCTCTTTTTGTAAACACCTTCTTCATCAACAACGGATTCTGCAAGGGTGATCCTCACGACTCATCACCCGAGCTCAAGGAGGAATGCAGAGCTGCCTATGTGCTCTCGTCTATCCTGACAGGCGTAGCTCAGCTTATGGGCCTCATCTGCGCCCCTATCTTTGGATACGTTGCCAGTCGGACTGGCCGTATCAACTCTCCCATTGTCGTTTCGACGATCTGTGGTATCGTTGGTTACATTATCCTTCCTCAACTATCTAGCCCGGAGATCAAGAACGTGGACGGCCGAGGTGGCAGCCCTGCCATCTTCCTTGTGGTCTCTCTCCTTGGCATCAGCCAGATCGGCGCCATCGTCTGCAGTCTCGGCTCTCTTGGCCGCGGCGTTCTCGCTATGGAAGTACCTAGGACTGCACGTCATGAACCTCTGCTGCAACCGGACGAGCACGAGTCGACCGACGACGAGAGCGAGCCGCTGATGTCTATCTCGACGGATCAGGAGGCAGCTTCGCGTATCCGCCTCAAGGGCTCTATTGCAGGCGTCTACTCGCTGTGTGGTGGCGTTGCTATCTTGCTGCTCACGAAGCTGGGTGGACTCTTGTTTGATCGACTATCCAACGGCGCCCCTTTTTACATGATGGCCATTTTCAACGCTGTGCTTCTGGCGGCGACACTGGGGATGGATGCTTCCCGCGCGTTTGCGCGTCGTTTTTAAAGTTTTATTTGTTTCTTGATCTGTATAGCCTATGAGGAATGAAAAGCGTCTTTACCTCTCTCCTATTCATCTTGTTACATCGGGGTTATATCACGGGTCGCATATCATTAGGGGTTCACATTGAAAGACTTGTAGATGGAGCAAATGTTTTTTTATTCATACTGCCTATTACTGACTCACCGTTGAAACTATCTGAGCTTACCCTGCTTGTGTCTTGATGGCTCGCATCGCTCAGGGGGTGCCCACCCACTGACTCTTACCTCGAAGACTCACGTCGCCTAGGGGTAACTCGGCAACTGGAGCGCACTCACTCGCCTTGACTCTTTACTTTGTCATCAGTCGCTCCCCTTCAGTTATCGTCCAGACACGATGGTCACTGGACACGATCCGATGTGACTTCCCTACTGGCGCAGGCTCCCTGTACTGGATCGGACTTTCGTCGCGGGACCAGCCTGGGCGGGAACGGTTCTGCTCTCTGGCTTCGGCAAGCCAATTTGCTAAACCTTCCTCGTACTTCTGTCTCTTACGCGCCGCCCTGGCTTTGGGGAGCTTGCTCCAGATATGCTCCTTAACAATAGTGATCTTGTCCCCAAGACGGCAGATGGAGGCAAAGAGGCCGTCGTCAACGTGACGACGGGCATAGCGGTTGCGAAGAGAGGTACTACAGAGATCAATTCTGCCCATTGTGACAGAAGTGCGTGTGGCGTGTCCTGAGTTCTTGTTTGTGTTGTGCTTGTAGGTCAGCTTCTCGGGTTTCAGTAGTTTCTGAATTGAGTGTTGAGAGAGAAAGTAATGGAAGAAGGGGACGGAACTTTTGGCTACCTATATAGTTTTCGAGATTTGAAGTTCTGACGATGTTGAGAAAGAATTCGAAGAGTGAATAGAATTGTCAGAAGTTACCGGGCATTCACTTAGGAACTGAACATTACAGGAGAGAGACGAAGAGGATAGGAGAAAAGGCCTGAACAGACTGAACAGGGCCATTTCTCGTGGTGAATTTAATCATACATGTTATTTGTAGAAACTCATTGATGAGTTCCAAAGAGCCACTGAAACGACAGAAACTAATAGACATTCACTGCGGAACTGAACATGGGTGAGAGATGTGTGAGAAAGGCGAAGAAGCCATGAAGGGGCTGAACAGACTAAACAGAGCGGTTTCTCGCCACAAGTTCGTTTACACATGCTATTCAAAGATTGAAGGGCTATTTGAAGCGTCAGGGGCCACAGAGCATCCACCGTTGATAGATTCAACTGAACAGAGAGAAGAGAGATGTTGGTGGACCTGAACATCCTGAACAGAAGACTTTCCTTTGAGAATTCACTTAAAAGTGATATATATAGTGACATCTAACGTATCTTGTACCGTTCAGGGGTTAGCTGGGTCTGGTTCTCACGTCTGATCAAGGGAGAGAAGCGTGTATACAATATCAACTATAGGACGATATATCTCGAGTTTGTTTGCTTGATGAGACTCGGACTCGTAATGCGTATCCACTAAACACTCTTCTTTTATGCGGCGTTGAAAGCGATACATGCAAGTCGAGTCGAGGCATGCTCACCACAAAAAGGGGCTCGGGCTAAGGGCTAGAGGCAGCCCGTAAACTTCCAGAATAACAAGGAATTTCCACGCACAAGTAACTATGATGTTCTCCATTATGGTATTACCAACTGGCATCGACTAGCATCAACTTGGTCAATTCACTGAACATGCTTGAGGTGAATGTCGGGCGAGTTCAACAAGACAAAGATCACGACATGTCACAAGGGGCGAGGCATCACGCATCAATGGCACTCTGGGATATCTGATTTCACTTTATTTCACTCAAAGACTCCCCGGAACCACACTACCGTGAAGCGCATTTCAACTGAATTTTGTACGGAAAACCTTTGAGAAGACCTAGAGGGAGAAAACTTCTGGATGCCAGCCGAGCTGGTGGCAAGGTATCGGGCCCCAGCGGGACAAGCCAGCGAGGCACGACATCCGGCCACTGAACCAATGGTCAACTTTTTTCAACCTTTCAAACAACGGATATCATCACCCTCTCGGTTTGTCCACGGTGAGACACAAGGAGGGGTGGACATGACGTTGACCCAATGTGCGTATTTGACATGCCAAGGGGGTTTATGAGAGCAGAGTTGGCTCTCTTATGCGAGTGCTGGACAATCTAGTTGCCGCCGAGGCTGGGGAAAGCCGACTGGTCGCTGGTGTTGATGGGAGCGTTACCCTCACGGCCACCGCGACCACCGCGGAAGTTGCCTCCACGGCCACGGTCAGAGCCACCACGCTCACCACCACGGCCTCCACGGCCGCCACGGCCGCCGCGGCCACCTCGGGTGCGCTCAGGCTCGACGAAGCGGGGGTCGAAGTCGATGGTCTGCTTGACCTTGCGCTCTCGCTGGCGCTGGGCCTTGCCGCCGGTGCCGGCAAAGTACTCCTCCTCCTCGTTCTCGAGGGGCTTGGCGTTGGCCCACTTCTTGTCGAGCTTGCTGCCCTCGTTGGCAGTGCGGACGTTGAGGCCAGCGTCGAGAGCGGCCTTCTTCTCGGCCTGTTGGGCAATGTAGTCTTGGTAAGAGACCTGCTTCTCGGCCTCCTCAGCAGCAGCGGCCTCCTCGGCGGCGGCATCCTCGGCGAGAGCATCCTTCTGCTCGGTCTGGGCAATGGCATCACCGGCCTGCTCGTCCTTAAGCTCAGCAGTACCCTCAGTGGCACCCCAAGACTGGGCAGCCTGCTTGTCGGAGCCACTATACACCGTTAGCATCCCGGGCCAATAAGCCAAGATTAAGAGGGAGCATACCCATGGGCACCAGATCGGGAAGGGTGTCGGTCATCGCGGTCGCGGGCGTGTCTAGCGCCACGGCCTGCAGAAAGTATGTGAGCTTGTTTTCATGTGAATTGGCAGATGAGCCTCTGCATTACTCACCACCACGGACGCGGGCACCAGCACCGCCTCGGGGGCCAGATCGGGGGGTCTCCTCAGTGGATCGGCCGTGGTTTCTATCGCTGCCAGCACCACGATCTCGGAAGGCTGTCGTTCGAATGTCAGTAAATTGATAATCCGGGCGAAAGGACCAGGTGCAACTGACCACCCTCGTTGCCGCCAGGACCTCGGCGGTTGCCTCCAGCACCACCGGCTCTCACGGGAGCCTGGGGCTCGACATTGCGCTTAGTAGTGCGAGTGGTGTTCTTGTCGACAGTCTTGACAGGGACGACGGGCTTCTCCTCGCCATCGCTGTCGTTGCCTGGATAGGAGCCGCTAGGTCAGTACGAGTAATTGGGACAAGGGCGTTGGGCAGCGTCGGAACGAGTCGACCGAGCGACGTTGGGATTTGACGCTGGAGGGAGGGGTTTCAAATCGTACCGAGGTAGGCAAAAGGGTTCTGAGAATCAGGTTAGCATGCTTGAGGATTTAATCGACAATTGATGAGGCCGCGGGCGATGTGATTGTCTTGGAAGCGAGCGGTGGGAGGGGCAGTCGGCGTCGCGTTAGGTTAGGGCAAACAACCTGACGGGCGATGACGAAGGACGGGAATGAGGGGTTGTATTTTGGGTCGACGGCGAGGGCACACGGCGGAGGGCGCTCGACGGCAGGATAATGAGGCAGAAGATGTCGAGATGAGGATGAGTAGGCGCTCGTAGAGCAGAGTTGATGAGAAGCTGAATAGCTTGAAGCAAATGCGAGCTTTGCTGAGGGCATCCAAAGCCACCGTCAGGCAAAGAAGCCGTGGGCGCTCATTCCCCTCTCACTCACACACTCAGGGCGCAGAAAAAAGCAGGGCAGGTGCAGCAAGCACAATGAAAGCGCAGAGCAGCACACCAAGAAACAATAGAAGGAACGAGCTCCAAAGATAATAGAAATGAATACACACCTTTGTGACAACCGACATCTTTGTCGTCGCCTGGGCTTATCGCCTTCCGTCCGGGGCGTAAATCAGAATCTTGAGGGCGACGAGGAAGTTGGTTTACGGTCGCATGACCTTGTAAGAGGGAGGAGCTGTTGCCGGAGAGGGAGGGGCGGGAAAGATTTGTCTGGTGTTGATTTTTGGTGGTGGAACTAAACTGGTGGTGATGGGGGACAAAAGCCCGCGCGCGGTACAAAGAAAATCCCGGCCCTCTTTTTTTTTTCTCAGGTAATTTTTTATTTTATTCAACCCACTACTTTTTGCTCCCTTCTTGTTTCTCTTCCTCCTCCTCTCCTCTATTCCAAGCAAATCACTGGCTGCTTTCCTTCTTTTGGCTCCCCAGAGTGGGACACTGGAGTGAAACTCTGACGCACGCTAGAGAGGCCTGCCTCGCTTAACATATTGTTGCAATATTTTTGTGGAGGTTTTGGCAGCTTCTGTTAGGGCATGGACGACCGCATCCAATTGCGGAACAAGCTGAGCTGCCCTGTGCTCTCCCGCCACTCTCCAGCCCAAAATCCCCCCGCAATTGGAGATCTGCCATTTTGTATGAAGCTCTTGTCGAGCTCGAGACGCACACAAAATACCCCGTAGAGCAATTGTAGACCGTTCACCTCATTCCCGCTTCTCTTTACCGTCCTTACATCCCGAAAAGTCAAACCCGGAAACTGTCCTGCTAGGAGAGTTTCGCCAGGGGATCATTCCAGAGCGTAACCCTCCGTTTACCCCGCCAGAGCTTTAGCGCTCTCAGCCCCGAGCTACGCATGTACTGTGAGGTAGGGCTTCACCATGGGAACCTCCATCATATCATCTCCCTCCATCCAACGTCACCTCCAGGCTCCAGCATTGTATACGCATTGCCAGCGCGTGATTGCTACTGTAGCTCTGGAAACAACTCAGAGCCTTCTCGTACTACCAGAGAGACTCATCTCCGAAAGCATCAGACCAACAAACCCAATTGCACCACCATCACGCTTCTCCTCGGCTCGCCTAGCCATGCGGAGCTCTAGACAAAGAGGCCCGAGCTTAGTCAGTCAATTGCATCAAGCCGGTGTTTACCCACCTCGGTAACTTTACCGGTCATGATCAGCAATTGAGCATCAATTCGTTCCGTGCCTCGGCAGCTTCCCCCGGCGCCGAGCCGCTTCAAGACGTCGGTGTATCATGAGGTTTGTTTGCTCGGGTCGGTCAATATGCCGGACCTTGCTTGGGCTCAAATGATCTGGCAAACCCCAAGCGCCTTGCAAACAAACTAGAACTTCACATCATCCATGTTGAACCAGTTCCACATGATACAGCTTCAAATGATACAAGTGGGTTTGCTCGTAGGTGAATGCATGACTACCTTATGTACTGCATAGGCCGTAACTGTAATAACCAATGATACCTTCTCGTCTCACCGACCTGTAAAGAACCTCTTCAACTCAGCCCCAACTTTCGCCCAGTCACTAGCATCACTACTCCTCTGCTCCGATCTCCCTCTTACAGACCCCTCCTCGCTCAGGCTCGCGGGGATCCTCCTCAGTCTCCTCCCCTCTGTCGTCCGCACGGGAGCCGTCAATGGCTGGTAACGCTCCAGATACTCCGATGATTGCGGTGCTGCGTGCGATATCCGCTGCATGTGCGACGTGAGCTGCGAAGGCAAGGGGCTGGCGACGTGGATAGTCGACAAAGGCAGCGGGTAAGGCGTCCGCATCACCTGATCGGGGTATTCGGGAGGTGTGCGGTATCCCGACGAGTTGATGTCGGAGCGGCGACGCGGCGAGGCCAGTCTCGACGAAGGTCGTTTCAGGGGCTCCTCCCTGACCAAAGTGAATACTTGTTTTCGAGATGGGGTTGGTGATCGAGAAGCTGGTGCCACGGGGAGTGAGGCTGCAAGCTGAGATGCATCTTTTGAGGCCAGCTCTGGGCTCTTTACTGGTGATACAGGCGGGTAAGCTGAACTCGGCGCGGAGGCGGGTTTCCGCAGGTGAGGCGGACTCTGGAGGTAAATGTCGAGGGCAGATGGCCGTTGGTTTCGAAGTTTGGCAGCGTGATCTGGCGCCCGCTGCATGAACAATGGAATCGGCTTCAGGGGACTCGGCTTGAAGGATGGGCCGTTGATAGGATCAAAGATGTCGACCCAAATGACCGACTCTGAAGGATCTGCCAAGTTGATTGACATGTTGTTGGCCCTGTTTCCTTCGCCGTCAGCTCCATCTCTGTCAGTCTTTTGTGAGGCCTCTCCGATGGAAGGAGGTTGCTAGATATTGTTGTCAGCAACTCAACACTTGAAGCGTCTGGAAGAAGACTCACTTTGGCACTGTTCTTCTCGTCACCTTTAGCTTCCCATCTCCTCCTCGTCAATCCCCCATCCACCCTTTCAACCCTTCTGAGGCCCCTTTTCACCACAATGCTCTCTTCCCTCACATCGTCCACCTCAGCCTCAACCACGCAGGCCGCGCATAGAGGAGCCTCTGTAACCTCCTTCCCTCCACATCCACTGTCCCTGGTTCCTTCCTCTGCCGTCTCCTCGTCCTAAAAAAGAGCCTGAACTGGCACCCCTCGACAAATGGCCCTGCTCCCATATAGCAGGCATCCGTAACACGCTCGGTGCCAGAAACACCATCCAAAGCTGACGCACTCATCCCCTCGAAATATGAGTTCCCCACAGACCCAGCAGATGGCAAGATCGAGAAGCGCCGCGTGACATGGGGAACAAGCGAGACGAGCTGAGCGGCCAATGACGTGGGGAGGCCCGTTAGAGAGGTGGAAGCAAAATGTGCATGTGAAGATGTTGGTCTGATTGCCCGATGGCATCGTTGGAAGAGTCTTAGGAGAGGCGTAGTGCAGTGATGATCAGCATGTTAGAGTCAGCCAATGTAACGAGTGTGTAGAAGTCAGTTAAAGATGGGGATAAGGAGTCCATCACATGATTCCTCGTGGAATACTGATGCCATTTCGATACAAGGTGTCGGGCAGACCTGAAGAGACCGTAGGTAATGAGTTTTTTGCCGGATTTCCCTTAACGTTGTAGTGGCAGGAGCAAGTGACAACGCAGAAGGAAAGCACAGCAACGCACGTGGACAACGGTGAGCATGAGCATAAGCAGGAAGATATACACTTGATGCTTGATCCTGTGACAATTGAATCCTACACAATCAACTACATGATGAACTCAATTCATCCGGTTTTCTCACAACCTGAATCCTTTTGCCGTGAAACGCCCTGAACCTGAACCTAAACCTTGACCCTTTGCCGTGTACCGGGAAAAACAGAAACAAAAACAGAACCCAATTTGTTTAATCAACCGACTCAATCCGCAGGTTCCATGCAAACAAACAAGTATGCAGACCTCTCAGCCTGGAAAAGCACAATCTCAAAAAACTCCAGCTGAACAAGACCGTCGCTCGTCATATCCCGCGTCGTGCTCTTTCAGGACTCAGGCTAGTAGTAGCCAGGTTTGTTGGCCAAAACAGTGTTGATGATATCAACGTATTTAGCCAACAAAGCTACAAGCAGCCTAGGTCCAGAAATATCAACGCGCAGGTCGTATTATACAATCATTCAAGGATGAGAAACTTCAATCAGTTACCATTCCTTATTTTGGTTCGCTCGTCAAGATAAAAGGCCTAGACCCGGTTCTTAGGGCGAGCGAGCATGTTGAGTCGGCTCAGACTCAGAACGGCACGCTTCTTGGATGGGGTTGCCGTATTAGGAGTTCGGGGGACCGCGCTGCCAGTTCTGGTCTTCTTTGCACTGGGGGTGCTACCAAGGAGGCGAGGAGCGAGAAGAGCCTCACCCTCGGGGACGTGCTCGTTCTTACGCTTCTTGGCTGCGCGTTCTGCTTCCTTCTCCTCGGCTTCTTCCTCGTCCCAACTGGCCCGGTGGCGCTTCTTGTTGGACATGCCGTGAGGAGCTCCAACAAGAATCTTGGTAGGACCAGGCTCATTGTTCTCCTTGTTCGCCAGGGAGACGGGGGCGGTGGTCCCAGGGAAGCTACCAGGCATCTCCGCGTTAGGCTTGAGGGACTGTCGGACATGGCGAACGCTGGATTGGCCAGGCGAAGCTCCAAAGCCAGCAGCAGGTGTCTCTCCAAACTCGATGGTATGATCACTGCGGAAGGTGAACTTGCCAGGGACGGATGGAGCCTGGAGTTGAGTCTTGGGAGGCTCAGGCAGAGGTCGGAATCCAGAAAGATCAGGGTATCTAACATCGTCTGAGTCGGTCTTGGTAACCGCCACGTCAAGGCCCTGGAATGTCACTCCCAGGTTTCGTGTCAGCCGATTCTTGAACGAAGACTTCTGGGGAGAAGGAGAGCTCTGCTCGGTCGAAATGCGTGTGACCTCTGGTGTGAAAGCGACATGCTTCGTCACCTTCCGTCGAGGAGTAGTCAGCGGAACAGGTGGCAAAGCCTTGTCCTTGTCAGCCTTGGGAGGTGCAGGGGTCTGAGATATCATGGGTTGTGGGATCGCAGTCTGAGCGTTTCCAGAGGGAGTCCTGTTTCCTCTCATAAAGGACTTGACTCTGTCAAGTCGGCCTGAGCTGAAGACGCGGGTTCCGGGGGTAGTTGTCTTGGTAGGAGAAGTAAGTGTTTGGGCACTGATAGACTTGGGGAGGCCACTCTTGAGATCAGACTTTGAGGGCGACTTCACTAGGGAGATGGTTGGCTTGCCCGTGTGGGCGAGAGAAGCCTTGGTTGGGCTCATCAGTCGTGCCAAGCCTGCGTTTAGAGCTGGAGCTGGAGCTGGAGCTGGCAACTTGGACGCGCCGTTTCCACTAGACTTGGGTCGAGGGATAGACGAATCATCACGCGAGACTGGTCGATCTGTCGACGCGTCGTCCTCCATGTGCTGCTTGAATCTCTTCGAAGGGACGCGTTGTTGGACATTGGGGTACAGCTGGGTCTGCCTAGGGATAGCAGACTTCTTGGGTGATGGGGACCGTTGGAACTCGTCAAAGTCAGCTCGAGAGGACTTGCGCTTGATGGCCTGGGTCATGCGAGGCGTGGCTGGTGTGGGGACATCAAGCTCTGCCTTTGAGGGCGAACGCTTCAGACCAGACTTGCCCGGAGAGTTAGTCGGGGTCGTTTTCAGGTTGGTCTTGGAGTGTGTTC